TTTATAATCAGCAAATGGGCAAGCAAACCCAGAATCATCGAACTTATCCAAGAGAGACGATCCACTAAAGCTCCTAGAGAGTGGACCTTGTGTTGAACTGCTTGGAAGTTCAGCTAACTTTTCAGTGTCATCTTTACCAGATGGAAATCCCTGTATAAATAAATACCTTAGCAAATTTACAACCTCAACTAATGTTTGTCGATGGTGCTTTCAGGAGGAAAAATCATAAAGGCAGCACCTTCAGATAAACAGTTAATTTCAACTTTTCTAGATTAAAATGAAAAAAAAAAAACATATTACCTTGACAAGGGTCGGGCCAGTCTGATAGTTCCCGTATCTTAATGTATCCATCTTTATTTGTAGCTTACCTTCAGAGGAACATGCCTTTGTTTGAGATGCAGTGATAGGGTGTGCTTTGGCAATATCAATCTGAGAACTCCCAGACCTGTAAAACACAGAAATATTGTTAAGTACATAGCTCAAGATTATTATCTCAATTGGGAAACTGAATACTGACTGGAGAGCATTTGGTGAACGTTGACCAGGCAAATGGGCTGGTGAAGAAGGAGATGATGTCGGTGAAAATGGAGAAGGCCAAAACTCATCAAAACTCATATTGTTTTTATGGGTCACAGCTGCATTCTGTGGTTCTGAGATTACTGGTGGAGAATGATCATTGCGATGAGTAAGAGGAGGAAGACACAGGCTTGGATTACAACGGATGCCACAAGCTTCGGAGCATGCAACTGATGGACAAAGAGGTACCGAAGCTAAAGCCCCATGGTCATTGCTCCAACTGTGCTGTCTGGTAAATGAAACTAATGCAGGAGATGATTGTGCTGAAGGAAGAGACTTCAGCCTTCTAAAAGGATCAGTGGTTGGACTACCAATATAATCCAATATAAATTGCAGAGACAAAGGAGCAGAAGGTTCGGATCTAATATCTTCCAATGTACGAAGGTACTGCACAGACAAACTCAGCCTACCTCGAGGAGTGTCAATTGGCACAAAAGTAAATTGGTTCATCTTGGCCTCATCCTCCTGAGTGAAAGGTTGAATGGAAGAAGATATTCTGTGAGACAGACTAAGCGGACAGATTTGGCCTGAGGAATTGAGCTCATGGAAAAGCTTGTACGTAGGTAGAAGCCTAATAAATACATACAAAGAGCGAAACAGAATGATATATCTCTTATACGTTTTCTTGTAGAATGCTGTTTCGGAAGAGCAGGAAGAACCCCCATTATTTTTCGTACCACATTTACGTATATCCTTATGATTCTTGCTACTGCTGCTCTTATGCCTTTCGTACTGCACAATCCACCTCTCAACAATCTTCCAAGATTTAGGCTCCAGAGCAAGATCAGAATTCTCAGAGAAATTCCGCAACAGGCATCCACCAAGAGGACGGGCCACATCCGGGACCAATGCCCTACGGATGAGGATGATATCGATGACCAAGGGCTCGAGATTGCTCTTCCGCCAGATGTCAAAATTCTCAAGAGCTGCAGGGCAGTCCCGTAATGCCAGGTTGAACCACTTATCCCTTGGCATGCTGCTTGACGAGGAGCATGAGGAGGAAGGAGACGACATAAATTGATCCACGGTATAGTTACGGGAGGAAACATACGGAGATCTCGACTCGAGTATAATGTGAAGGCTCTTTGCAAAGAATTCTGTGATCACTTGCTCAATGATAGCAGATTCTGGGGAGGAATGGCTTGGTGAAGTGGCCATTTCAATCCACAAATCCCGAGTAAGTCCTGGAAATCTCCACTAAAGATAGAAATCCTTAAAAGCAAATAGGGAATTGGGTCATCAAATATTCGCAAAAACTCCACTTTAAGTCGAGTCGAAAAATTCAGTAAGCACCCAAAGCAGATTGCTTGCCGGGGGAAATCAAATGAGAAAGAATCGGCACATTATATTTCGCAATCGTGAACCTAGACTTCTCCGATTTCTGAAGAAACTGGTTCAGGAGAACTTGACGAGGTAGATCAATCGAGCGAATGGCAGCACGCAAGTTAACATCTCTCAAGTAAATTTTTCAATCTTGTCAGACACAACTCGGAAAAGAAAAAAAAAAAATCCTATTCCCAATGGATTTATCGATCAACGACTGTGGACTCCAAAAAGAGAGGCTAGAACCCCAGAGCGAAAGTCAAAATCGAGTGCTATGAGCTTCTACCGAGAAATCAAACGACCATCTAAATAAAGGATTTCCAGCATTGACTAGGCCAATCCAATCTACAACCAAAACATTCAACGAAAAAGAGATCCGACCAAAAAAGTCCCACCAAAAACAAGATCAAACAACGGTTTTGGCAGTCCGCAGTGGATAACCAATCAGTGATTACTGTAGGGAAGGGAAATAATCGGGCGATTAAAAGCGCCTACCTCTGGAATCGATATTTGACTCGACTTAAATCCCGAAACCGTTCGAGTTGGATTGTTAGGGTTCCAAAAAATCCTCCCCTTCGACCTTTAATCTCCCACTACCGATATCGAGAAACCCTAGATCGACGGCATCGTGCGGAGAACTCTCCGACGCGTACGGGCATGGAGACGCTCACGTATATACTCCGTAACTTCAACGAATTTACGGATGGACCCGAGGCGGTGCACGGACCCCCAAGCAGTGAAACCTCCGACTCCTGGAATTTATAGTGCAGCCGGATATGATTACTCGAGGTGAGACATACATATCGGTGACCGCTCGTGCCATGGCCGGACTTCGCTCTATGGGAATCCATGATGCGCTCCGGTATGAGTTACTTTGGGCTCACTATGGCGACATCGTTGACCGAAATGAACGTTAGCTTTTACAAAGCTCTTCTATTTCACTTTAATGTGGAAGTCAATTAGTTTGGACTTCGGAACACCGGTAGATATAAATTTGTTGATGAACTTTCCTAATTAATTATATTAGACTTCTTAGAGATCATACATACTTGACATTATTAGAAAATTATAGATCTAATTTTTTATTAAAAAATTATTAACTTTTTTAGTTAGTAATCATAGGAGAAGACGAGTTTAATTCTCTTACCTGTGATTTTTGAATTCGAGTATGATATCTCTATCATTTCATAATTAGCAAAATAAAAGTAATAAAGAAGGGGAAAATAAAAAAAAACATCAAATTAGATGTGTATTAAATGTTACAATAGAGATATCTATTTATTAACTTTCCATATATAATAAGAATATATTATAAATGATGTGTCTTAAGTGATATTCTGAAATGTGACTCCTATATCTTAATTATTGTGTAATTATAGTAATTCTGAATATCTTCTTAATTCTCATAAACTAGCAGCCAAAAAAAAATCTAAATCCATCAAATATATTATTGATATTTTTTAAATTATTGAATTATCTATCAATTAAACTACATGATTTCCTAATCACTTATTCATCTATTCATCCTTTTTTATAACTTCTTTACCTCGTTTGGTCTAATTTTTACAAGCAAACATAAGATTTCTAAACATATCACTGTTTCATATTTCTATATTTGAATTGTAATATTTATTAGATGCTTTATAAAAACAAATTTATCATATTTCCTTAATCCTCATATCATAAGCAATTTTAATCTTTTTCCACATCATTAGTGCCTTTCTCAATACATAAACTATTATAAATGTGCTTTGTCATACTTATAATTACTTATAATTTTTTCCCTTTCAACTACTCTATATATATATATATATATATATATATATATATATATATATATATATATATATATATGTATATGTATATGTATATATGAAAAGGGTGTTTTTTTTAACAAATGATGTCTTCTGTTTCTAATAATGCTCAAAATAAGTGTGTGTTCACCTCAATGTATAGTTCTTGCCATTCTTGGAGTCACCTTATAGCCCAATCTATATGGTGGATGAATTCAAGTGGATGTTATAATATTATCACTGTTTTGACAAAACATACTTGAACAAATTATAAATGATACGTGTATTATAATATTAATAAGTAAATTTCAAGCTTAAGAATTTAATATTAAATGATATACGAGTAAACTAAAAAGATATAATATAATATCACTCATAATATTTTTCAATAGATTTACATCAATAAAAACTATAAAGTTGTTAGAAAATACTATGAGTGAATCAAATAAAATCAAAATAGACTAGGAATAATATGATATGCCATATTATGATTTAAATAAATATTTATAATAATTCATAAATATCACCTAAATAGGGATAAAAGAAGTTTGACATGTCATAATGTTTTCGCCACTACAACAAAAATACTTTAAATAACTTAAATGAATTTCTAACATCCATCAAATCAATTATAAGACTAAAAATATTATATCATAATAGCTTAAGAATGGGGTAATATGATGTCACTTATAGTATTTTATAATTGTTTCAGGACATCAACAAAAATACTATAAATATATATATATATATATATATTTATTTCTTTATTTATATATTTCAATTATGTTGGCCACCATCATTTCCAGTTGGAATCTGCCACGTTCAGCGGCCCCCAGTCATTTCCAATTGGGATTTGCAACGCTTCAGGGGGGCCCATCTCGTCTGCGCCAGCTAATCAAAGAGTCGCTGATGGGCTGGCGTGGGCGCACACCCACCCCTCCTCGAACCTTCCAACACCGCACGTGATGCCTGACCTGATCCGACGGCGTAGATGACCCTGATCCGAGCTCCATCGGACGATTGGCGTTCCCTCGAGACAGCTCATTGACGAACACAAAAGGCAAATTCGACTTCCGTGTCTAGCTCAAGCGACAAAATACTGGGTTTAATCCTTTTATTCGACATTCTCTGCGGGCTCCGCAACACGTATCCTAAAGCCCATAAGTGAAGCCAATAGAAGGACCATTTAAGCTGTCTCGTCGCTGGGTCGAGACACAGGAGCTGCTTGTTCTTTTCCTTTTTCTCTCTGTTTATCTTTGATCTCGCGACTGCAATGATACCCGCAAAATTTTCGTGACAGAAATTTAGCGAAATCCATTCGATTTCTTCCTATTTAAATGCCCTTCCACTCGCCTCGCTCCCCGTCTCTCTCGTCGCCGCTCTGCACCTCTCACTCTCCATCTCTTGGGGAAGCGCAGAGGGGCTTCGGTGTAAGGTCAGTCGACTTCGTCTTCCGATCTGTGTTAAGCATGTAGAATGCCATCGATTTTGGTTTATTTTTTAGGTTTTCGCGAGTTCTTTTGTAGGATCTACGTTGTATTAGATGCGTATAAATTGTTCTATTAGCTGGTTCAGAAAATGATTGTTGATTCGTATCGGTACATCGTGGATCGAGCGAACATTTGGTAACTCATTGACCTTCGGTGTTCAGCTTCTCTGTTCTTGCCTTTTCTGCCTCATTATCTTGTTTCTTGATTCTTTAAGCTTGCGATGATAAGATATTGTGTGAAGGATTGCTCTTCCTTAGGTTTCTGATTCTGGAACAATTTGATTCTCCCATATATTGCTTTTATATTGAGTTCCTCTATTAATATCTGTTTGATGATATTTTTATTCATGATGGTCGATCTTAAAATATGAAAATTACTTTCTGTTGATTGTTCATCAGCTGTGAAGCTGAAATTTGGAAAAGAAAATATTCAATAACTGTTTTTTTAAGGGAAAATATCGAATTATTACACCTGGAAATATGTTAGTTATGAACAATATGAAGTGGTCAATGATTTTACCTGATTAATTCTTGTCACATAATATCAATACTTGCTTTGAAACTTTCGAAACAGTTTCGTTGTAGTTTCTTGCTGGACATAGTTGCAGATTTCTCAATTACTCTTTTGAGTGTTAAACCAGCCTTTCCTGTGTTTATGGAAGGATTAGTGTATATAAATAGAAGATTATTTTGATGTTGAATTATTGGGTATTAATTTGCTAGAGCATGTGGGTCGAATTATATGTTCTTCCTTCTTCGATTTGGTTTTGCAGATATCCATAACATGGCTGACGGCGAGGATATCCAGCCTCTTGTCTGCGACAATGGTACTGGAATGGTCAAGGTTAGACATCCTTTTCCTCTCTCATGTTATAATTTGTCCCTCTTTCCCTGATCATGTTGCAAACAACATATATAACTGTTCTCTTTCAGGCTGGTTTCGCCGGAGATGATGCACCTAGAGCTGTATTCCCTAGCATCGTAGGCCGACCTCGCCACACTGGTGTCATGGTTGGGATGGGTCAAAAAGATGCTTATGTTGGTGACGAGGCTCAATCAAAGAGAGGTATCCTGACCTTGAAGTACCCTATTGAACACGGCATTGTTAGCAACTGGGATGACATGGAGAAGATCTGGCATCACACCTTCTATAATGAGCTTCGTGTTGCCCCTGAGGAGCACCCTGTATTGCTCACCGAAGCCCCTCTCAATCCCAAGGCAAACCGAGAGAAGATGACCCAGATTATGTTTGAAACCTTCAATGTTCCGGCTATGTATGTAGCAATTCAGGCTGTTCTTTCCCTTTATGCTAGTGGTCGTACAACCGGTATGCCTCACTTCAACTTGATTAAAGTCTCAAACATGACATGTAAATGCTGATCTGTGGCACTCTTCTTAATAGGTATTGTGCTTGATTCTGGTGATGGTGTGAGCCACACTGTTCCTATATACGAAGGATATGCCCTCCCTCATGCCATCCTTCGTTTGGACCTTGCTGGTCGTGACCTCACAGATGCTTTGATGAAGATTCTTACGGAGAGAGGTTATTCCTTCACTACCACTGCTGAACGGGAAATTGTCAGGGATATCAAGGAAAAGCTTGCGTACGTTGCCCTGGATTATGAACAGGAGCTGGAGAATGCCAAGGGTAGTTCCTCTGTGGAAAAGAGCTATGAGTTACCTGATGGGCAGGTCATCACGATTGGTGCGGAGAGATTCAGATGCCCGGAGGTTCTCTTCCAGCCATCTCTGATCGGCATGGAGGCTGCTGGTATCCATGAGACCACTTACAATTCCATCATGAAGTGTGATGTGGATATCAGAAAGGACCTGTATGGCAACATCGTTCTCAGTGGTGGTACGACTATGTTTCCTGGAATCGCTGACCGCATGAGCAAGGAGATCACAGCGCTCGCCCCAAGCAGCATGAAGATTAAGGTGGTTGCCCCACCAGAGCGGAAGTACAGTGTCTGGATTGGAGGCTCCATCCTTGCTTCGCTCAGCACTTTTCAGCAGGTAATATCTTGATCCACATTTGCAAATTATCAAGATTCAGAAACGTTTCGCAGCTATTTCATGATCATAATTTTTTACTCTTTTTTTGTTTAATAATGCACCAGATGTGGATCTCCAAGGGCGAATACGAGGAATCCGGTCCTTCCATTGTCCACAGGAAGTGCTTCTGAGTTCCATGGTCCCCAAGTCACGGTTACTACTCTTCAGGCTGCTTTTCAAGACTGAATCACGCAAGTCTTTTTCCAAATTGATGTGGTTTTGTTGGGGGTATGTTGGATTTGCTCGAGCTGTACCTGTACTTTAGGCACCATAAATATATGTGAACTGCCATAACATCACTGCTTAAAATCTGTTTCTGCAATGAAGGCTATTTATCGGAAGTTGACAATGGTTGCCTGAGTCTGACAGTCCTTATATTTATTCTTTACATAACCACTTAATAATTTGCTTCATTACGAGATTTCTCATCTCCATAAAAACTTTTGCTTCATCACAGCAAGTTTTGCCTTCTTTCTTTTGACATGTCGATGGGATCTGAAACAACTCGAGGTGGTGATATGATGCAGAATGCTGTGAACCATGTGAGTTTTTTCTCCTTGGCTTTCTTTTTCCTTGTGGACCAGAAGGGGACCTCTATCAGAAAAAGTACAGGACATGTTCCTTCAAAGACCAGTGATCACATGTTCCTCCATTCTTGTTTCGTGGGAATCTCCATAATTGCTCCTTGTGGTGTGGTATATATCATTCTTGTTCCTTGAGAATCTCCATGATTGTTCCTTGTGCGGTCTATACGCTTTAACTTATCTGTAATATTGGGTGCATTTCCCATCACATACTCAATATCCTTAAGCATGTCATACACACACAACTCCAATGTTTCTCCCTACATTTAAACCTCTATTTTTTGTAATATGTACTCGGTCATGCACCTTTACATTTGGAGGAAGAAGCACAGCCTGTCCTGTTTTCAACTATAATTGTGAAAACTTGACTTTATTTAATATATGTATATATTTCTAAAAAATAAGTAGAATATTAAGATTATTTCTTTATGATCCGTGAGAGATCATGATTCGAATCATAAAAATAGTCTATATATTTACCCTCCTCTTATCATTTTTAATAAACAAGAGAAAAATATATAATATTTATCAATTCTATTCTAAAATTTAAGCTCTGTAAGGTGATTTAGACTATCACAAATTATATAATTTGAGATGAGAAAGTATTTATCCTGTCATGCATCTAAGTTGATACATATACCTTTTTTGTTTTTGCCTATATGCTCCTCTTTTTCTTTTTTTTTTGCATAAATTCCTTCTTATCACTACAATCTCTCATTATCTATCTATTTATAATATCATGCTATAAATTATATATCTATAAATGCAATCATAAAATGAGTAGCCATATTTGTAAAATATACAACTGTAATATAAATGTACATGTTGAATTTACTAATACTTGTATTATCTAATGCATTTGCATGCACAAAAACCATGGATCCAATAGCTCCTACTTTTAGATAAATTCTGTTCCTTATAATATCAAATGTAAAAAATATTTTTAGTAATAAATAATAATTACACCATCATCTCCGTCATCAATAGGTAATGGTTATTCCCTTTTCTTCCATGATCTTGCATCTTCATTTGCCTTCTTATGCTTCATGCTTGAATATAATTTTTTCTGGTGATAATTGGTCTCAAATAAAAGAGAAATAGGAAAAACAGGAGATAAATGTAAGGTGAAATCTGTTGGAACTTAAAATGAGGTTCCCCAACTTGTTATCCACCATCCATTTCAACTTTTGTGTCTCCTATCTTTTTTTACTATCAATATTCTTTCACTTTGAACTTATGAGATCGATCTCATTTTTATCGTTTTTGATATACGACAAAGTGAAATCATTCTTAATAGAGATGAAATGACACATACTGAGTATATAAATCAAACCATACTATTCGGTTAGTACACTTGTTTTCGGGTTAACTGTAATTATCTTTCGTAGTCAATTATATTTATAAGTCTATCGAATCATTCCTATCCTCGAAGATACCATTTGAGGTTCATATGTCTTGAAATGACAAACCAGACATATCTATTAATTCATTGCGAATCTAATTAATGACGATCAAATTAAAGTTTGATAAAGAATCGATTAATTCATTAGTTCATCTTTAAAAATTAAGATATATTAATGAGGCATTCCAATTGTTGGTTAGAATATTAAAAATTCACAAGCTATTATGAAATTATTTTTTTATGATATGAGAATGATGATATGACTAACACCTTCTTGTTATGTGTTTGAAACTTTATTGTCATGCAACCCTAACTCTCATACCATATTATCGATATAACGATATTGTATGACTAATATAATATTATTCTTTAGATATTACATCCACAATTGTTGTAATTTATTTAGATTCGATGTGATATGATTATCCTTCGGAACAAAAAAGATATGTAATTATTTTGACATTAATTCGTATTGTCAATCATAAAATAATCATAAATCTTAGGATAAGCAATCGATCTCGTCAATGCGCTCCAAAATTTTAAATTTTAATACAGAACTCAATATGGGATCAATAACATGCTATCGAGATTAACTTAACCATCGATTTTGTTAGCCATGCTTCTAAAATAGTTTCATAGATTCAACAATTCGAGAGAAGATAAATACGAAATATAGTGATTCAACAGGAGAGATATATATGAAATATGATCCTAGTTAACTCCAAATCAATATTCTGATCATACAACTAAGATTTATATTAACACTATCAATTACCTTAAATATATTTTTATAAGAATTTTGATGTATAAGAATCCTTAGAGGCACAATTATTTTCCACACATATAAAATCATAGATATTTTTCTAAACCTAAAAATGTAATGGGGACACACCTTTCAAGTTAGCAAACCCTCATTGCACAATTATCTTTAAAGATGATAAATTATATTTAAAAGTAGCGTACAATTTAATTTAAGTTATTTATTACCATTTACCGTTCAAAATATTCCCTTAAATATGTGTATATGTGTCCGCGTGGAGCTCTACCTGAGATCAGGCCGACGTCAGTGTAACTTAGACAGGAGTGACCGCACCCATTATGTATACCCGGCGGGTGAAGACGGATCAACCAATAAACACTTTCGACGCCCTTTGCTGACCGCGGAGCAAAGCGTGAGCCACAAAAGGCGGTGTCGCCGATCCCGTCCTTTACACCCTTCTTCCAGCATCTTCAAATCCATCGCCAGATCTGAAGGCCGATAGAGGCGGAGAAGGAAGAGGAATTGGAGAGAGAGAAAATAAATGGCGAGTGACAGCGACATCGACGAGGACGAGCTCCTCCAGATCGCTCTCAAGGAGCAAGCGCAGAGGGAGGTCAACTACAAGAGGCCGTCGGCGAAGGCCTCCAAGCCGGTCGTCAACCTCATACAGCCCCCGCCGCCGCCCCACTTCATGGCTCAGGATCAGCATCAGCAGCGAAACCCCAATCCCAGGGCGAACCCCGTTCCTGGGAAGCAGCCCCCGCAGCAGCATCAGCGGAAGGCCAGCCGCGGCGGCGGGGTCGACGACGACGATGATTCCGACGTCGAGATGCTGAGCATCTCATCCGGAGACGAGGACTCGTCTAAGGACCGCGCGGCGCCGCAGAGGGGGCGCAGCGGGGAACACCGGGCGTCCAGGGACGATTTGGATCTGGGGACGGACGATGATGAGCCCAGCAGCTGGAAGAGGGTCGATGAGGCGGAGGTAATCTCGATCGCCTAATTGTTGATTGTCCAATAGTGATCTGTTTGTTAATTCTTGGGATCGAGTTGTGCTATTGGTGCTGACTCTCGTAAATTTTTATTGTGCTATCTGATTGTTTAATTAAATGGTTCTAGATTTGCTCAAGTTTATAGAGCTACTGCCGATGATTCTAATTGTTCTCTTTGTCTTATTATGCCCAAGAAAGTTTGCTTGACCACTTTTTTTATCTTTAAATTGCCTCGTCCAAAAATCTTGATGTCGAGAAGGTCGTAAAATTGAGAGATCCTGCTGTTGTCTCTTGAGTCTTGCATCCAAATTGAAGCTATGTTCATTATCATAACTTCTAAATCTTTATTGTTTTAGATTTTCTTTCCTAGTGTCAATAGTTTTTCTCTAGCAGAAATACATTTGGCTGCTACACTCGGATGCATGAAATTGAGAGCCTCGGGCTTGGAAATACACAGTTGGCATCTAAATGTTAAGGCCACATCCAGTTGTATCTTTCATCAATAGGAATGCTGAATTTGGTATAATGTAAGCTTAGTCAAAGCACCAACCTTTTTAATCATTTTGAGAACGTTAGTGGAATTATGGATCAAATTCTTGGTCTTTAGTCTAATCTCTAGAGTATATTAGTTTTCTCTTTTTCCTCTTTGAGATCGAGCATAACAAAGTTCCCTATTGTTAGTATCACACTATTATTCCATATGATGGCAAGAATTCTGCTCTATTATGATCTTCGAAATGGATACTAGAAATGGGCTGAAAAGATAAAGTTGACAGGTGTAGGAGAAATTGAGAAAAACTTAATATTCTGCCATAATATTCAGAAAGTTTTCGATGGGAAAACTTAATACCTTCTTACCAGAAAGCATTCAACTTGTGTTTTACTTTTTATGATAGATATTGTGAGCACGTTAATTCACCCAAGTTCCAGAAGAATGTTATTTTAGAAAATAACATATTATTTACCGTGTTTCTTATCTCAAAAAGGAATCAAGCATGACGGGTGAATTAGGCCTACATTGATGGCATGGACCAACCGGTTTTAATTGGGAGTATCTTAACAACATAAGCAGTAATTTTAGGGGATTCATCAAGAAGGAAGGATGTAGACTTCAGGTGTAGGGTGGTTCCTAAGAAAACTACATACAAGGATCTTGAATTGTTGTGCCATGTTATGGATGAATATATTCTGGTTGGAATGACACTGAAGCTTAATGTGCGATCGGGTTAGGATCAGTTTGGGATTTGGATTTTCCGGATTGGTTCTACGCAATGGTTGGCTCGGAGCACGAGAACTAATTGGCAGTGCCCATCATGATTTGTTGAAAACTACTGGACTTCTTCATAACTTGTTAAAATTTGCTGAATTAGTCAAAAGATGGTGGAATCTGGTTGCATTGGGCAGAATTTGATGCAATTCTAACTGCTTCCAATCTGAGTCTAACTATTTCCCTTGTTTTTTAATTTGTTCCTTATGTTGCTCAATACTTGTCATGACATAGGTCCTCTGACCAGGATCAGTTTAACTTGAAAGCCGTCATTGAAACAGTAGTTATGGTAACTGATTTGATGTTCTTGAGCATACATACAATGTTGAATTATTGCTGTACGGATGTTTTTACC